CTTTGTTCTATATCGCTCTCCTTCATCCCAAGATTGCACTATTCTTGATGTTATTTCTGATCAAATTGACCAAGCCCTCTCTCTTTATCCATCGGCCAATATCGTCGTTGTTGGTGACTTTAATGCCCATCACACCGATTGGCTTGGCTCTAGTGTCAGTGACTCTGCTGGCGTTAAGGCCCTCAACTTTTGCCTTTCTCAATCTCTAACTCAAATAGTCAACTTTCCAACTCGTTTTCCAGACAACTCTAATCATTTACCTTCTCTACTCGACTTATGTCTTGTTTTGGATCCTAGTCAGTGCTCAATTTCTCCACATTCACCCTTAGGTACTTCTGATCACGGTTTGATCTCTCTAAAACTATTATCAAATTCTTCTACTTCATCAGAATCCCCCTATCATCGTACCACATACAACTACCTTAAAGCTGACTGGGACTCTTTCCGTGATTTTCTTCGTGATGGCCCTTGGGTAGAAATCTTTCGTCTTCCTGCTGACAAATGTGCTTCTTACATAACTTCGTGGATTCAGGCTGGCATGGAATCTTTTATTCCCTCTCGACGATTCCAGGTCAAGCCTCACTCTTCTCCTTGGTTTTCCTCACATTGCGCTGCAGCAATTTCTAATCGAAACCGTTACTTCCATATCTATCAGCAAAACAATTCTCCAGAAAACAGACATCTGTTCACTATCGCTAGAAACCATTGTAAAAAGGTTTTGTCTGACGCCAAAGCTCGCTATTCCCAGGTCATTAAATCTCGTATCTCATCACAAAAATTAGGCTCTCGAGACTTCTGGAGAATCTTTAACAGTATCAATAATAAGGGCAAATCTGTTATTCCTTCTCTCTTGTATGGTTCAGACTTTGTCACCTCACCTAAAGACAAAGCTGAATTGTTTGCAAAGAACTTTTCATCAATATCATCTCTTGATTCCACTAGTTGCGTTTTACCTGACATAGCCGTCAAACAGGTTGATCCCTTGCTTGACATTCGCATCACTTCAGCTTCTGTATCTTAAAGTAATTTCCTGCTTAGACTCTTCAACAGCTTGTGGTCCTGACAACATTCCTGTTGTAGTCTTGCAGAGGTGTTCTCCGGAGCTTTCATCCATACTTTCTAAACTATTTAACAAGTGCTTATCAGAGTCTTGTTTTCCATCATGCTGGAAAGCAGCATCTGTTATCCCTATTTTCAAAAATTCCGGAGAGCGATCTGATTCATCTAACTACCGTCCCATTAGTCTTCTTCCTGTCATAAGCAAGGTTTTTGAATCTTTAATCAACAAACACTTAATCTCTCATCTTGAATCAAATAACTTACTTTCTGATCATCAATATGGATTTCGGTCTTCTCGTTCTACAGCTGATGTGCTAACAGTAATAATCGATAGGTTTTACCGTGCATTAGATAGAGGTGGAGAGGTTAAGGCTATCGCACTTGACATTTCTAAAGCTTTTGATAAAGTTTGGCATGCTGGTCTTCTCCATAAGCTTTCTTCTTATGGTGTAGCTGGTAACATCTTTAAAATTATTGAGTCCTTTCTTTCCAATCGTAGTATAAAAGTTGTCCTCGATGGACAACACTCTTCTTCACATCCTGTAACTTCAGGGGTTCCTCAAGGTTCAATCCTTGGCCCTATACTCTTTTTAATTTACATTAACGATCTTCCAGATATTCTCACATCTAAGGTGGCATTATTCGCTGACGACACTACCATTTACTCTTGTCATGATAAGAAGCCTACACTCTCTGATTGCTTGAGGGGGTATCTGAGCTTGAAAAGGATCTCACTTCTGCTACAGCATGGGGCTCACAGTGGCTGGTGAACTTTAATTCAGATAAAACTCAATTTTATTTGGCCAATCGTTATCGTAATAATTTAGATCTTCCTATATTTATGAATGGTAATGTACTAGATGAGTCATCTACCATTCATCTTCTAGGATTAACTCTTACTTCTGATCTTTCTTTTAAACCGTATATCAAATCCATTGCAAAATTAGCATCTGCTAAGGTTGCATCTCTTTATCGAGCTCGACACTTTCTTACTCCAGATTCTATTCTCTATCTCTATAAATCTCAAATCCGTCCATGTATGGAATTACTGTTGCCACATCTGGGGCGGATCTTCTAATGATGCTCTTTCTCTTTTAGACAAGGTACAAAAACGAATTGTAAACATAGTTGGACCTGCTCTGGCAGCCAATCTCCAACCTTTGTCACATCGTCGTAATGTTGCTTCTCTTTCTCTTTTCTACAAATACTATAATGGGCACTGCTCTAAAGAGCTAGTGTCCCTTGTGCCATCTACTAAAATTCATTCTCGTGTTACTCGCCATTCAATTAAGTCTCATCCTTTTTCTGTGACTGTTCCTAAGTGCTTCAAAAACTCTTATTCTTCTAGTTTTTTTCCTCGAACATCAGTTCTTTGGAATTCGCTTCCTTCATCTTGCTTTCCTGATTCATATAATTTGCAATCTTTTAAGTCATCAGTCAATCGTTATCTTGCTCTACAGATTTAGTCTTTTCTCTTCCAGTAACTTCCAACTCTTATAGTGGTTGCTTGCAGCCTTGTTGGAAGTGAAGATGTTAAAAAAAAAAAAAAAAAAAAAAAATTTGTTTTTATTTTTTTTTCTATTTCAATCTCTTTTTATTTTGTTAATTTTGTTTTTTTTGTTTTTGAAACTTTTTCAGCATTATTATAAAACTTGCTAACGGCCGTGTTCATGTTTTCTAAAATATTATAATCGCGCGTGGTCATACGAGACAAAAAACCGCACGCCTTTCCTGGGAAGGCTTGATATATATATATATATATATATATGTATATATATATATATATAATATATATATATATATATATATATATATATATATATATATATATATATATATATATATATATATATATATATATATATATCAACCCTTGAAATTAGAAAAAATGAGGTCGACAATAAATTACCCGCCTCAAACTGCTAGAGGTCGGCAAAAAAAAAACTGATACAAATGGGTTACCATAAAACATAGAAACGAGGTTGGCAATTTTTTGCCTACCTCAAACACTTTAAGGTCAGCAGTTAGGTCGGCATTGCCGAATGCCGACCCTAATTTCGAGGGTTGTATATATATATATATATATATATATACATATATATATATATATATATATATATATATATATATATATATATATATATATATATATATATATATATATATATATATATATATATATATATATATATATATATATATATATAGTCTTCTCCATTTCAAATTTACTGCCAGCGCACGAAAAAGTGCTGGCCGGACAATAATTATTTATTCGACGTGCGCGATTTAAAAAAAAAATATTTGTTTTTTGTACCTCTTTAATTAAGAAAAAAGATTTGTTACAATTTAAAAGCTTGCTTGAAATTTTTGTCAAGCGCCTAAAAAAGCGTCAGCTGTAGTATTGGCGGCCGTGTGGGTGAGCACAAAACTGCAAAAGCGCGAAAGCACTCGTCAAATGGAGAAGACTGTATATATATATATATATATATATATATATATATATATATATATATATATATATATATATGTATATATATATATATATATATATATATATATTTATATATATATATATATATATATATATATACATATATATATATATATATATATATATATATATATATATATATATATATATAATATATATTTACACACACACATAACTATAAGTGTGTGTTTAGATAAGCACTGTAACATGACACTGAAATAGCCTTCTGCCAGGGGCTTCAGTATATGTATTGACCGGCCACATAAATATACATGTATGTTTTTTTGTTTAAATTTGTTTATATTTTCCTTATACTTTTTTTAGAACAAGAGTTCCGTATGGTGATGCTGGAGAAAAATTTTCCTTTCAGTTGACTTTAGTGTTTTTTCAATGTATTATTAACTCTGCATTTGCATATGCAGGTAAATATTTTACCATTATAGTTTAGATATTATTGTTTATATATATATATATATATATATATATATATATATATATATATAAATATATATATATATATATATATATCCTTATAGTGTAGTCGAAAGAGTCGTTTAATGTAAAAATAGTCTCTTAAGCTGTTTTTGATTGTTGTCGAAATGTCAAAGCAATTAAATTTATGCGGAAGTACATTAAATTTTATTGTTTATTTAAAAAGCCGCAATTATAACGATGAGAAAGTTTTTTTTTATTAGTGGTGTTTTTGTTTTTGTTTTATTAAAAAACATTTTTAAAACATGCGTAAATGCTGATACATCGACTATCTTATAGCCTGACTCGCAACGGAGTGCTGCTACATCGACTGACAAATAGCCTGATTCGCAACGGAGTGCTGCTACATCGACTGACAAATAGCCTGACTCGCAAGGAAGTGCTGCTACATCGACTGAAAAATAAACTGACTCGCAAGGGAGTGCTGCTACATCGACTGACAAATAGCCTGACTCGCAAGGGAGTGCTGCTACATCGACTGAGGGTTTGGTTTGGGCAGGCAGTCTATTATTTAAAAAAAAAAAAAAAAATTAATTTTTAAACTTTTTCTGGTCTGGTTTATTAACGCGCTCTTTAAAACTACAGTTTATGGGAAACTCTTTTTCACTACCATGCAAGAGTATATATATATATATAGCGTAAAAATTAACAACTGTCTGAAGTGACTACAATTGCTGTTTTGATCTCCCAAAATGAGTTCTTGCTGGTCATGGTTGACCAGTTGAAGAAAGAATCAGAATTTTAAAAACAAGATTTGAAAAATAATCCGTATATAATTTAGAAAATGCATATACTTAAATTTCATAAATCAGAGGAAAGAAAAAAATGATAAATTCTTAAAAAAGATTTCCTTACAAAAAAAAATTATGAGATGAGTTGGCTCTTGTGCGTGTTAAACGCAATGGAACTGCTGCTTATTTTGTTGCTTTTACTTGAGATAAACAGATTGGGTGGTATGGATGCTAATGCCATTAAAAATTAAGTAGATATCCATAGTGCGACTAAGGGTAATTACTAGCTATCATTATACAGTCTTCCATTGTTAAGTGTTTTATCTTTAAATGCTAATCTGTTATTATCAAGATTAAGAAGGCTTTCTCTTATTGTGGGTTTTGATAAAACTAAAGCAGCAACTTTCTGAGATATTCAAACGTTTCAGGGATTATATTTTTTGGATATTTTCAAAATTCCAGATTTTTCTATAAATTTTAATTTTTTTTGATATGCAAATAGTTTTCTAAAAAATACAATTTTTTTTTGTCTTCAAATAATTAAAACAGTAAAGTTGTTGTTCATCAATTACTCTACGCTATATTTACTTTGGTGAGGCATTATTTGTGCAAATAATTTTTTCTTATTTGTACGCATATATTTATTATTAAAGGGATTCCCAAGTGCTGAGAAAATTTTTGTTTATTTTGTAAATAAGAAAATAAGTTTTGAGTTATGCTTTTTTAGGCGTTTTAGTTTAACTCAATGTTTTATTTTTAATAAAAATAAAACTTTGTTTTATTTCTATTTCCATTAAAATTCTTTGCTTTCATTTATCGTGAAATCAAATTTATCGGCACTTTTTCTTTCTAAATCCAAATAAAAAATAGAAATATTTATTTTGGTTTTAAAATTATATCAGCAGAACTTGTATTGTAATTTTTGTGAAATTTACATATTTTATATTTATAGCACTAATATTAATTTTTATTTTAAATGAATCAAATATAAGTAAGACTTTTAAAACCATTACTTAATGAGCTTGTTATTTTATTCCGTTATTATATGTTTGGTAAAGGTTATGTATAAAAGCATTTATCTTCATAAAAATTAATTGGAAGAGGGAAAACCCAAACATAACGTTTATAACTCAAGTTTAAGTTATTTGAAAGAGCTTTTTTGTTGGATATCATTTATTAACTACAAAAGCATTATTCACACCAGTATTTGTTTTTAAAAATCAAAGAGCCTAAACTTACCTTCGAGGGAAAAAAAATGGTGTTTAAAATTATAAAGTATTTTATTAAAATTACATTTTAAGCGGTCTAAAATAGTTCTATCTTTGTGCTTTTTTAAAACACAATGGAGCCTATTTTAAAAGCAAAATTTATTTAAGTTATATAAAAATAAATTGTTTGCTTAAGTGAATTGTTTTTAAGTGAGTTAATTGGTTTTAGTTAAAAGTTAGATACTTAAGTTAAAGTTAAATTAATTTACTTATTAAATAAAAAAATATATATAAATGTTTTTTAAATGTGTCTTTTAAATAGATTTAAAATTGATTAAATTTATAAAAAATATAGCGTCTTTTTTCTAATGTGCTTTTTAAATTAAATTTTTTTGTTTTTGTAAACATTAATAAAAAACTGATATAAAACTGAAAGTTATTTTTTAAGTTTTAAAGTCTCATCAAATGAGAGCGCAAAAAGCGCTAGAATATAATTATTTTACACCGCTACACTGTAGCTTTACCAGCTATTATAATATGTAATATTATTAATAATAATTATTAATAATATTACATATTATTTTTAGGTAAACTAGTTTAATTTAATTTATAAACTCTTATTAAGTAATTATTGAAAGACTTTTATGTAAAAGCCTGCTAAAACTTTTCTTTTCAAACACATGAGATATTCTTAAGTGACACAAAATGAATTTTTATTCCTGGATTTATCCGGATATTTTTTAAAAAGATTTCCAGATATTATTAGTAAAAAATTTTCTGGATATTTCAAATATGACCAGGATAATCTCTGAACGCTTGCATAAATACAAATTATTATGTATGGTTTGTAGTCATTTGGATATCTTAGAGAAATCTCCATTGGAAATTATTTTAGAAAAAGAAATGTTGATGGTGAATGAGCTAAAACCAGCAATGAATGTAGTTAAGGCTATCTTAGTTGAATTACCCAATGAAGATATCAATCATATTATTGATTCATATTTATTCAAGTTTATAATTAAGGAAAATGATGGTTCAACCAAACTTGTTTCTTTGTATTACAAAGGTCACAAGTTAAAAAATTGAATCCAGAGTTCATTAAGATTAGGCTTTGCAATATGGCTAATTTTAACTTTGAATGTATTAGCTCTGCCATTAAAGTAAGAAAATCAGCAACTGAAATCATTCTACCTTTGATAAATGATAGCATTATTTCCCTGTTAAAGCCAATATTCGAATCAATGGATTGACTAGATCCACATTTATGGACAGCAGACAGCTGTCAGTAATCGTGGATCTAACCAATCTCTTTATTATTAAATAAATTATTTTACACTCTAGAGACTGCAGGAATTGTAGTAACAATGAGTTTTATAATTATTTGTTCTGAATGGAAAGCTGCAAAATTAGTAATAGATATGCAAGTATATATATATAATATATATATGCAAGTATATATGCAGTATGCAACTTACAACATTGCAACTATGGCAGAAAATTTTTCTTTATCATAGAAAAGAGTTTCTGAACTTAAGTCTTCTCGTTAAACTTATGATGTGTTTCTGGTTCAAATTCAGCTGTCAAATGCACTTTTAGTATTTTAACCTTGATAATAACTGATGGGGGTTTAAAGATAAAACACTCAATATTTAAGTCGCACTGTGGATATCTACTTAAGTAAGCAAAGATTTTTTCGCCTTGATTCAGCTAATGCTAGCAATGCGACAGATGATAGTAGCCAAGAATTTTAGCAGTAAGGATTTCTACATCTAAATCACACTCAGACATATAAACATTTTATATTTATGTATATTTAGGTAATGTCATACATTTGTAAATTGGGTCTATTTTTTATTATACACAAATTGTTTTAAAAGATTTACATATATAATAAAAAATACTTGCTTTTTAAATAATACAAAAAACCCTATATTTATATGATTTATTAAACTTTATTTAAAGTTTTGCATTACTTCTTCTAGCATGTTAAAATTTAATTTTTCAGACATACATGAAAACATGCATAAGTTTGAATATTCTCAAAAAATCTAAAAAGCCATGGTCAAGTTTTTGCAATTATATATTAAATGCATGGTCAGGAATAGAGTGCCATTGCACCAGGTTCCCAACTAAGCATGTAAATATAGTTTTATTTTCACCCATTTTTAAGTTTTTTTGTTAAGTTGTTATGAAAAGCCATCTTGCCCCATTTTCCCCTAAATCACTTTTTTGCTTCACTTATTTAGATTACTTCATTTTACTGGTGATAAAAATTTTTATTTTATAAATGATTGAAGTTCTTATTTTAATAAAAAACTTATATATTATTTTAATAATAATATATGATAATTGCTGTATTTAACTAAAGAACATTTTTTCTTTCAGTTGTACATAGTCATTTATTATTTATTTATTTTTTTATCTTACCTTATTTATTTTCTCATAAGTTTTGGCTGCAAATTGCAAAAAATGAATGAATAATTATATAAATTTAAAATTACTATATGTGCGTCAGCGCATTTTTTTCTTTAGATATAAAATTATTATATATTTTATATATAAAGTTATTAAAAAAATTAAAAAAATAAATTTTGTAAGAATCTTGTTTTATGTAGCATTAGTATTTTTTCAGTAGTGTTTCATAAAAGGATTGTCTTAGTATAAAGTATATAGTTTAAACTGTACCTGCACACTAGAGTTAATAACATTACTAAAATTAGCAGTTTTTAAAATGATTTTAATGAGCAAATATATAAAATGTACAATCATTTTTCTTCTTTAAGTTCATTAACTTTAAATTGTTGTATGTCACTATTTCTCTATATATTTTTATTTAAATTATTATTTATTATTACACTATTTCTTATATATATATATTATTACACTATTTCTTCTATATATTTTTATTTAAATTGTTGTATGTCACATTTTCTCTTCCAAATGTACTTTTTTTTTTTTTTTTTGACATTTTTTTTTTTGATGTTTTTTTGT